CTCTCAAGAGTGTTCGACCTTTAAATTAAATTTTCCGGGGCGTATAATTAATATATATATATATATATATATATATATATATATATATATATATATATATATTACTTTCACCAGTGTATAAGTACATTGACTCAGAGAGGAATGTTTATGAATACTTACCTAAAATAATCATTACGATCTTATGTGAATATACATAGGTACAACATATCCCCAGTCTAATGATGAAAAATATATTTATTTTGCCTTCAAATATTTATTTTCAACATAATTTCCTTCCTTGTCAAAGCACCGAAACCAAAGCTTGTCTATAGAAGACAATTTTCTTTCGAGAAGGTAGGATTGAAACTTTTCTTGAGAGCATTACAATAGAGGATGATTCAGGTTTCGGCGCCAGTATATCTACCCACTATCGACAAGTCGATAAAGTTTGCTCCTTGAATAACTGGTGCCTTTCGCGTAAGGGCGATCGATGTGGACGTTGATCGTTACATCGGATGGCATATAGATAGCTAGATATTTAGTTATGAACAGACAATGCAGGTATGTAGTGATCAAGAGGTGTACGAAGATTGTGTTAATTTTCCGAGAAGAAAGAGTCTGTCTACTTTGAAAATCAGCATTCGTAATTTAAAATTTTACCTAGTTTGCCATCAGAAAACAGCTGGATTTGTATAGATCGATATAGATATTAAAAGACTTAAACAGAAAGACAAGCAGTTAGATAGATAGATAGATAGATAGATATAAACAGAAATAAAATAGCTTTTAGTTAGCTAGATACATAGGTAAGAAAATTTCTCTGTATATATATATATATATATATATATATATATATATATATATATATATACAGTGTGTGTCTGTTATTATCTTTTATATCTAGCTATATATATATATATATATATATATATATATATATATATATATATATATATTAAATTACCTATCGTTACCTTATATATATATATATATATATATATATATATATATATATATTTTACGATAGGTAAATTTTTACCAATTTATATTTTTTAATTTCTCGCATGAGCATCGTTTGTTTTTGATTTTGTCTACTGCACAGTATAGTAGGGTCAGTTGGGCACCGTCTGTTAAAAAAGAGCACCATGACGCAATCCACTCCTCCAGAAATTTGGAAACAGCATGCTGTACTGCTTGGTATTCGCGCCGGGAGCTCTAATACAGTGCTGTTCAGTGAAATCGGGAAGAGTTGGATGAGTCTAATGCTGATTACGAAGATACGGCAACTCAGAAAACTCTGTCTTAAATTTCTAATAAGAAAAGAACTCACGAATTTGTTGGTGAGGGCCTCTGATAATACGGAGACCTACATCAAGTGCCTTGAGGAGGTAGTGCTGCCCTGGGTCAAGAGAATGGCTGCTGAAAAACCCTATGTCTGACCGCAGGAGTCAGCGCGATGCCATACAAGGAGGAGGATCTAGTCATAGCTGTCAGAGAATTTCTGCGTCCACATCACCCTTTACATCTGGCTACCTAACTCCCCAGACTGCAACACTCCTTGATTATTGTGTGTGGGCCGCAGTTGAGCGAGAGACCAACAAATCTCCTTGTGACATCTAAGATGACCTGAAGGCAAGGATTATGGTAGCATTCACCAGCTTAAACAAGGAGACCGTCCAGAAGTTTTACGGAGTCCGGGTTTAAAGCCAATGACAATTTTATTGGTAAATTATATCTGTTAAAATGAGTTATCAGGATTATTTTCATTTTTGCTTAATTTAGACGACAATTTATCCATCGCACCCACACACACACACACACACACACACACACACACACACATATATATATATATATATATATATATATATATATATATCAGTCTGTTTAGCTAGCTAGCTAGCTATCTAAAATAGATAGATAATGCACATACATACATAGAAAGACACACACACATACAAACACACACAGACACACACAAACCCACAAACCCCCCCATATATATATATATATATATATATATATATATATATATATATATATATATATATATATATTGTGTGTGGTGTGTGTGTGTGTGTGTGTGTGTGTACATAGATGTATAGATAGATAAACCCAGAGACAAATAAAATACATTTGCTAAAAACATCTATTTAAACATTCATGAATTTGGTACATATCGGCATAATTCTTATCTTACAATAAAATGGTCTTTCGTAGGAGAAAAAAAAATGCTTCCTCCACCACCAGTTGGAGTTCGATTTGAAATCGAAAACAAGTCTAGCTTCCAGATAGAAAACACATTCTGGAAGATTAGCACTACGAAATATAAGAAGCTCGATTTTATATCGACTGAAGCAAGTAAAACGAAATAAAACAATACAAGTGATAAACTCATGGAAATGAACACACGCACATATTAATGTGCGTGTATGTATCTACACACACACACACACACACACACACACACACACACACACATATATGTACACATTGAGCTGAATGTAGTGTTACGCGTTGAATAATATTTACAAGCTATCTTATTCTATATGCCACGTCCCTTCAGGATGTTAACGATCATGGATCTCCACAATTTCCTGTCCTTAGTATCTCTTAATAAATTGTATCTGTTTCTTATCTCTCCTAAACCTTATTCTACCATCCATTTACTCAAGCTTGCTAGGTAGGTTAAGCGTTGTTTTCCGTTGGCCCCCACCTGTGAGTATCAAATTTTCCAAATCCTGTTTCCTCATTATGGGCCCTAGAAATTTCAGCTCTTTCTGATACGTCTCCTTGTTTCTATTTCCTCTAAAACCTCTTCGTTGTTCACATGTCCAGTCCATGGTATTCTCATCATCCTTCTGTAGAACCACATTTCTGTTGCTTCAAGTCTATTCTTTATCTGTGATGCGATTCTCCACCATTCACTGCCATATACGGGGACTGATGTTAAGTAGCATTTCATAACTGTTTCATAAGGCAACGTTCGTTGTCCCAATGCGCTTTCGCATTTCAGTGTCACGCTTTCTGTTCTCTGTTAAAACACTTTCCAGATATTTAAATTGCTGAACTGTCATTAGGGCCCCTTTGAAACCAGCAACAATAGGACAACATCTAATAGGCTAATGGCAATATCACGTCGAAACACCGGTTCTCGTACGATCACCGAAGTTAAGCAACGTAGAGACTGTATAGATAGGTGACTGCTTCAGAATACCAGGTAAGATTGAATGTGCGTGTAGTGTAAAGAATAACGGTTCGCAATTGGAAAATCGGATATCTGAGTTCCAATTCCCATCGGGTTCGTTATATTCACAGGTTTAAATACCCCTGGGAAAGGTATCAATCGCTCTCTTCATCCCATACAGTTATGGATGAATTAGTAAGACTTGTATCAGTAACTCTATTATCTCCAAAAAATCTTACAATCTAAAAAACATTTTCTGGTTTTGAATAACCTGTAAAAGGTTGATAAGCAATAAAAAACAAATTAACAAAAAAAAAAAAAAATTAACAATATCCCAAATTCGTTACTATCCTTGCAATGTCCTCGTTGCCGAAATAACAAAGGATTGGATAGTTGTGTAGACTTTTTGAAAATTGGCCATACTACCGTGAACCCCTTTCCACCAGCAACGATGTCTGTGTAACTGCTTTTAACTTCATGAGTGCAATTGTTCTACAGCAGATCTTCACAAGAAATCGTTAGGATAAAGAGAAGTAAATCTGATTGTTGCTGCTAAAATACATAAGCGTGACGTGGGCAGGCTGAATTGAAAATTCAGATCTTTTTCTATGCTTCCGATTGGCACTAGCCTAAGGGCTGAGCTAAAGAACTATTAAGTCGTGCACCAAAGAAACGCCAAAATGTAGGTTATGAATAGATTCTGGAGAGCACAATGACTTCATATAGCCGGGGGTTGTGGTGTTGAAAAGATTAAGGAATTTGACCAATTACAGGGATATTGTATGGTCATATGAATTTTTTTCTTAGAATATGTTCGGGGGACAATATTAAGCATTTCAACCCATGGTTCTATCACTTAAATAGTCTTATCTTAAGAACAAACACTTAAAAAAAAGACTCGTTCGATTTTATAATAAAATTTTCTCATTAAAAAAAAATGATTCAGAACTTCACTCGGATTTGGGACCTTGGAACCTACTCTTCATTCGTTTCATAATAGATTCGCCTCTGGTTTTATAAGTTTTATTTAAATAGTTGGCAGAAAAGAATACAAACGCAATATGGCTGTGTTGATAACTTCAAAATAAAGTATTATTTACAGAAGTCATTGCAGAATTGCTTTTTAAGCAATGATTGTAAAGAACCATTATAACACACACACACACACACACACACACATATATATATATATATATATTGCATCATTAAATACACATTATTTATTTCTAGTATAAATATATATGCGTAAAGTGATACACATTTCAAATTTTGTCTAGTTATATATATATGTGTGTGTGTGTGTGTAAATGTGTGTGTGTGTATGTAAAAATTTCAGATAGAGCATATTTGTAAAAAGGACAGTAAGAAGAAAGAAAAAAGTGAAACTTCTTTCTCTAAGGGACTTTATCAAGGTACTTTTATAGCACTTACCTTGATAAAGTCCCCCAGAGGACCAAACGCGCCAGCTAAGTTTTCCTTTTGTCTTTATTCATAAATATACGCAAAATTTGATAATTACATCACTATATATTCATACATATACGAGCTGGCTGAATTAGTTCAGCATTTCCAGTCAGTTCTAATGATCGGTATTTAAACCTACGTAAAAGTCAAAAATTCGCAAGCCGATTTTCAAGGCAAGTAAAAAACACTACCCGTTTGCAAGTTTAGTGCAATACAATCTTCACATCCGCCATCAAGTTGGCTCCATGCCATACTTAGTAGCACTGTAAATACCTAATCTAACTCATTTATGTTTATATGCGTAGCTGTGACTTTTATAGACAGAAATATATGTGCATACGATAGTCCCATCATTATTTCATATGTAAAGTTATTGTACAAACCGCCACAAGAAACCATACACAGTCACAACAAGGGAAGCATTCTTTCTTCAGAATTACATATTTTCGTGCCGTCATTCATAAGATATACAGCAGTTATTCCTCCGTTCTCTCACTTCAGTTCGTCTGTCCTTCGCAGAAGCAGAGATGCATCTTTCTCGGCAGTTTGACTACTGCTTCTAACCCATCTTTACCGTTTTCCATGAATACAACAACATCAACCGCACCAGCTCTAGCCCCCGACCTCAAAGGCTGTATTTCTGCAACACCTCTCCTTCCCTTAGCTCTTGTTGAATTTTTTTGCCACATTTCTCTCTCTTTTTCTCCCACTCTCTATTAAACACATACAAGTGTGGATATACATGAAAAATATACTTAAATAGAGAGATATAATTACAATCATATTCACACTCGCACATACACACGTATACATTAATAAACACGCATATTAATGATCATAAAAATAGACGTAGATCGGTGTTTACTCACTTGCGTTTTATCCGACGCAGACCAACAATAAAAGAGCACTCAGTGTGAATCGAAATCACTGTACTAGAAAGTAGTCCGTGAAATTGTCTTGTCTTCCTTGGTATGTAACACGACGTAAGATTATATATATATATATATATATATATATATATATATATATATATATATATATATATATATATATCCAAGTGTAAATAGGTTAACCGTTAGTACCAATGTCTAGACATATTTTTAAAAAAGTGCTCAATACAGAGTTAAGCTTAATAATAATAATATTTATTAACAATTATAACAAAAACATGTTATAAACCGCTACATAAATGCAATCATGTTTCGTCACTGGATATGACTCCTCAGGACCACCGCCTGAGGAGGCACATCCAGTGTCGAAACATGATTGAATTTATGTATCGGTCTATAAATTTTTTGTTATTCATCATGCCGTTTCTATATATATATATATATATATATATATATATATATATATATATATATATATATATATATTTTGATCCTAGCTAGAGGCAACCGGATGTCTAGCCACACTGAAGAGCTATGAAACAGCGAAACAGTCTGTCTGTGGATGACTTTATATATATATATATATATATATATATATATATATATATATATATATATATATATATATATAAACATTTCAGCTCAACCAAGGCAATAATACCACTAAGACGCAAAGTGGTTACTGAGAGAGGAAGAGAATAAGAAGACTTTAGTAAGGAGAAATGACAATAAAAGAAGAGGGTTCAGGAACAAGAACACAGAAGATGGCGATTGACGTTGCCTTTTACATTCTTGATGATTGGAGATGGCAGTAAAGTTGGAAACCGAAATAGAATTATAGAGATTAGAAGAGCGAGTGAAGAAACTATTTGAATAGAACTTACGGTTCCATCGAGCTATTTCAGCAGTAAAATGATGAGACCTCGTAGTCAATCTAGACTTTTTCTTTTATGGGTTGTGTCCTTTCAGAACGTAGGCGATCATGGCCCTCTCCATCGTCCTTTTCCTTGTAACTCTTAATAAGTCTTGTCTTTTTGTTACTTCTCCCAAACCCTGTTTCGCCATCCATTTCATCATGACCATCATGTATGTTACCCGCTACTTTCCTCTACCTTTCTTTCCCTCTTTCTGTACAGTGAGTATCAGATTTTCCAAACTCTCCTTCCTCATTTCGTGTCCCAGAAATTTCAACTGCTCACATGTTCGCCCCATGGTATCGTCTGTATATGTTGCGTCAAGTTTCTTCCTCACATTTGAGGAGATTGTCCAGCATTCGCTACCATACAGGAGGACAGATATCACGTAATAGTTCAGTACTTTTTCTTTGTTTCTAACGAATTTTTTCAATCTTCTAATACCCTGCTTAGCTTTTGGAATGCATCTTTGTCCATCTCAATGCGCCTTCGGATATCGCTATCGCATTTTCCATCCTCTATTAGAACATTTCCCAGATATTTAAATTTATGTACTTGCTTGATTTTAGTATCCCCGACCTGTAATTTGCATTTTGGGACTTACCCTTTTGCTGATAACCATGTATTCTGTCTTCTTGTAGTTTATCTCCAATTCTTTCTTTTAGGCTTGCTTCGCTACCTTCTGTAGAAGCCTTTGTAGTTTCCTTTCTGTGTCTGCTATCAGCACTGTGTCCTCGGCATGTCTTATATTGTTAAGATTGTAACCGCTAATAATGAATCCAAGTCAAGATATCAAGAAGGAAAGCTCATTAGAACAAATGCCATGAAAACATTTATAGAAAAACAGAAGCAAATAATACTTTACCCTTCATAGACATCATGTCACACCCGACTGACAATACTCTAAAACTAAGTGTCCATCGTAAGTCAACTAATAAATATGATTTCATAAATTTCTATTCTCAGCATAACACCAAAATAAAATATGGAATAATTATTGGGTTCTATTTAAGATCATTTCGATTTTGTAAGCATTAATATTTACCCAAAGAGAAGAAATGCACTGAAAATACTTTTAATCTCCTCTAATGTCCGAACTATTTCATATTCAATGCGAAAACAAAGGTTCGTAAAATATTTCAAAATATAAGAGGACGATTTTGACAAAACAAATATATATATATATATATATATATATATATATATATATATATATATATATATATATATATATATATATATATATATATGTTTATTTAGATAATTATTGATAAAAGTATGCATCAATACATAAAAGTTTACCAATAGAAACTCATACAAGTCTGCACAGCTGTATACACAATTATATTTTTATGCAAATACGAAAACGCTTCTCTCCATTGAAAAATATTCAAGCACATCCCATAACCGGGTGTGGTGCTAGGGTTACTACTTAGCTGATCCTCTGACCCCACCCAATACGTCTCTGTAGGTATTCATTCATGCGTAACGTGTCTTGGGCAAAGCAGACCAGGCTGAACAGAACAGCCCAATAGGACACATTTGTGTTTATTTATTGTTGATCAAATAGATTAACAGCAAGCATAAATTAATGTTCGGCTATTTTGACATATGTTGAGAGCCAGCTTTAGTGCATTCGTTGGTCAGTTAATTTTCGCAAGCCGACGTTTACGCTATAGTAGCCTTTTACTAAAGTAGACAAAACTAAGTTGCAACGTTTGCCGTAGAGCAATATTTATTTCGTTTCGTTAAACTTTGCTGTAAGCTGAAGACCCACTGAAATCGTGAAACATGCCTAAAAGCTAAATAAAGTATTAAAAAACAGGACCATTTCGTTATACACAAAGAAAAGAGTGTTGAATTTTTTTATGTAATATCAATCGTCTTATATGACAGTGAATGCTGGACAATTTCTTCACAGATTAAGAGACTTGAGGTAACAGATGTAATTCTATAGAAGTATATTAACAATACCATAAAAGAAACACGTGAGCATGGAGGAGGTTTAAAAAAAAATGTGAACGAAGGAAATAGCTGTGATTCAGATCAGAAGGAGACAATTGAAATTTCCGGGATACATAATGAGGAGAGAGGGCTTGGAGAATTTTACACTCACAGGACACGATAAAGACAAGAGGAGTAGAGGGTAACACCGAATAACCTTCCTAAAAAGTTTGTGTAAATAGATAGAAACATAGACTGGGATCTGATGGTAAGAAGACAAAAGTAAGGAGAGTAAGGAGACATAAAGTATCGAAGGGACACAGCACATGAAAGAAGAAGCAATTGCGTTAGTGTGCATCTCTGCGAGTAACATACTCGAAGAATTATATCTACTTAGACATATGATTTCATATTTCTCAATTTCCGACGAAACTGGAAGGCGGCCGCTAATAAATAAACTAAGTTTGGCAAAAACGATGGAAGGCATCTGGCCACTTTTCGTACATAATTTTGACATAAACAATAGAATATAGATAAACTTCCACGCTTCTCAACTCTCTCTTTCTCTTGCTGAGAATAGTATTGACCGAACATGAAAACAAGGACGAAGTTTTAGAGAAAATGGAAACAAAAAAGGACACGTTTACTTAACATCAGGTTGAAATTTCTAAGATATAACAAGGAGAGAGGGTTTGGAAATTTGATACTCACAGGAAAGAGGGTCAAAAGAAAACAACGTATAACCTAACCTACCTAGCGAGCTTCAGTAAATGGATGCAGAATAAGGTTTAAGAGAGATAACAAAAAAAATATTAAGAGCTACAAATAACAGGAAATTGTGGAGAGCCATGGTCGCTAACGTCATGTAGGTATACAGAAGAAGTCTGTGAATGCTTGTATGTTATGTTATGACAAGTATATGTATACGCGCATAATCTTATATATACTTTAATCCGTATCTACAAATGGACATATATGTATAAAATACTTAGATGTATATGATTATATAGTTACTTTTACATACATATGTATGCACACACGCTCACACACATGTAGAGACATTTTTAGTAGTCCTGACCTGGCATCTCGGCTTCAGTCACATTCCCCACCTCCGTATCGTATCTTCTCTGTCCCTATCCTATAAATACTTTCATGGTAATTCTTCTGATGAATGTTTTTCTATGGTACCTAAATTTATGAATGTAAGCGCTGATTGGCAATAAGCTCTCATCATTTTACGGTTGAATTCGCTAGATGTAACCGTAAGTTCTATGCTAACAGTCTCTTCTCTCGTACTTTTCGCTTCTGGAACTCTTCTCCGGCTTCTTGCTTTCCAGCCAACTTTGATCTTTAAAAATTTAAAAACAATGTCAGTCATTATCAACTTCATGATTCCTCTTCTTTTATTGATCTCTCTTCTTAATAATATTTTTCTTTTTCTTATTCTTTCACACTTTAAAACCCTGTGTCTTAGTGACTTTACTGCCTTACATGAGGTGAAATGATAAAAAATGCATTACTGGATGTGAGTATTTATTTATAGTAAAGGTAGTGAGTTCAATCCTCATTAGATATTCGGTGACTTTGTGCTACGCTTCTCTTTGTTGAATTAACTCAATACTGACGTACTATACTTTATCATGTATAAATTATTTTCAAGATCGCTCTATGCCAGGTATGGGTTCGGTTTATTTTTTTCTAAAATATTCAATACCAACATTCGTTTTATACGTCTTTTATACAGTTAAAAGCCGCTTCTAAACAGTTTGTTGCTTCGCATCAACGAGTCTAGAGCGTATCATGAATAAGATGTAGTATGTAATCGCCACATCATTCAGCTTCTGAAAATGGATTTTATTTGGTAGAGGATCTTAATGTCTCCACAAAAATGAAGTATTTGTCTCTGAAAGTATAAGTGCTTATTCGCAAACAGAATGGCACCAAATGCGCACAAATGTATGCACTTATACAT